TTTAAGAAGGTAAGCAATCAAGAATTTTTTTTTTTTATTTCTAGATAGTTTGTCGGTTTAGTTTAGGTCAGGTTGCTCTAGTAGCTTGAAATTAATTTAAGTTGAATAGTATTGGGAGTCTAAATTAGAGATAGCAAGTTCACATTACAAAAGCTTGGACAGTGCCTCTTAAAGGCAGACCTGAGTGTGTAAATGTTTTAAAATTTTATCTAAGATATTAGATACTGTTTCCTGAAATCTTGTAGTACTTACTTATCAACCTTGAATTATTTCTGGTATTAACAAAAACCTGCCAGCTTGGGCACATGGGGCCTGTTTTGTCTTCTGTATATTCAACTTTCATGATACCTACTTAAATTTGATATTCAGAAAGCTATGCAGTCTTTTCATTGATACTTGTATGCATATTTTCCTCCCCAATAAAGTGGCATATTTAAAATCATGTTTCAGAGCCTGCTAGAATTGAAGAAGCAGTAAGAGAGTACATACTTCTCTCAGAGTGGTAAGTTGGGCTTAGACAACTTTAAATATAGCTCATATTTTGGTAGATGCTGCCAAGGTTGTGGTTCTTGGAGAACAAATCAAGTTAAGCAATTCACTGGGGAGGAAATATTTAGTTTTGTGGGTATGCAGTTTTGGTTGTAGTCAGCCAGAAAATACATTTGCAGAATGTAGGATTTTTTTTCACTGCCTTGAATTTTGCAAATTCATAGGTTCAACATGCCTAAAAAGCACTTGCATTTCATTTTTCTGTAATTGATTTTTCAGCTGTGGATTCTGTTTCCAGTCCTTTTATGAAGCATATCACCTTACATGCAGAGTACCATCTAGTGGTAGAAGCAGAAATTGTAGATTATAAGTAGGTTATCAAAATTTCTCTTTTTGTGGGGTCTTACCTCTATGATTCTTTAGGATATCTGGCTGGAGCCCTTGTTATCTCTGTATGCCTACAAACCTAGCTACAAATTCTCGTGGTTCTGACCATATCTATGCAAAACCTTTTTATAGGGGTGCCAGAAGTCAAAACACAGGGTTCTGCTGTGCCAGGTTAAGTGCTTTACCTTTGAGCCACATCCTCAGCCCTGCAAAAACTTCTATAATAAGGAAATTCACTTTTAATATATGCTTTGGTTTTCTATGATTTTTTAATTTTTACTTTTTTGGTGCTGGGGATCGAAGCCAGGGTCTTTCACATGGTAACACACGTTTTGTGAACTACACTGTACTTAGCACCTCTATGATATTTATATCAAGTTGTATGGAGATGTAGGCAAAAACTTCTTGATTTCTTTAAGAAAAATTATCATGAAATGTTGATCATACATACAAATATATAGAATAATATAACCAATACTCTTTTCCATCACCCAACTTCAGTAATATTTTTTTTTCTGGTACCAGGAATTGAACCCAGGCTGCTTAACCACTGAGCAGCATCCCCGACCCTTTTCACTTTTTATTTTGAGGCAGGGTCTTGCTCTATAAGGCCAACCTCGGCAACTTAGTGGGGCCCTAAGCAACTTAGCAAGACCCTGCCTCAGCCTCCCAAATTGCTGGGATTATAGATGTGTGTCATCATTCCCAGCACAATGGACATTCTTGTTTGTAGTTTTTGGTGGCACGTGTTAGGTATGGAATAGAATTGTTGGATCATAGATATACGCTTTGTTTAACTTTAGTAGAGAAGACCAGTTTTTCAAAACAACCACATCAATATGTAGCACTAGTATCAATATAAGACAGTTCCTGGACTGGAGTTGTAGCTCAGGGGTAGAGTGCTTGCCTAGCACATGTGAGGCACTCACTTTGATCCTCAGCACCACGTATAAATAAATAAATAAAATAAAGGTATTGTGTGTGTTTTTACACACACACACTTCTATATGTATGAGTTCTCATTGCTTTCTCCTAAACCTTGGTAGGGTCAACCTCTAATTGTGTGTGTGTGTGTGTGTTAGTAGGGATTGAACATGCTAGGCAGGTGCTACATCCACTGTGCTACATCCCCAGTCTTTATATTTTATTTTAGCTGGGATCTCACTAACTTGCTGAGGCTGGCCATGAACTTGGTGATCCTTCTACCTTAGCCTCTCAAGTAGCTGGGATGACAGATAAGTGTTACCACATCTGGCACAATCTCTTTAATTTTTGCCATTCTAGTGGGTAATAGTATATCATTGTTCTAATTTGCATTTTCCTGATGTCTAATATGATTGAGCTTTTTTCAAAGTTAACCATTTGGCTATCTTAAAAATCCTATCATCAGGTAGGATAATCCTTACCGTTCCTCCTTCTAGAGGGCAGATGGAACATGATGATTGGAGTTCATGGGATATTTGATTAGTGTTTCTGCATAATCACGACTTGCAACACCCTGATTAATTCTACCTATCTGATTCTTAAAAAAATAAATAAAAAAATAGATAAATAAAACCCCATGCGGGGGCTGGGATTGTGGCTCAGGAGTAGAGCACTCGCCTAGCACAGGCAGGACCCGGGTTTGATCCTCATCACCACATAAAAATAAAGGCATTGTGTTGTGTTCATCTACACCAAAAAATAAATATTTAAAAAGAAATCCCATGCCCATTTTTAAATTGGATTATTTATAAAAATTCTTATCAATCTGTGGAGATTCCTTTTTTTTTTTTGGGTAGTAGAGATTGAACCCAGGGGGTACATCCCAAGCCCTTTTAATTTCTTAATTTGAGACAGGGTCTTTCTAATTTGTTCAGGCTAACCTTGGATTTGCAATCCTCCTGCCTCAGCCTCCTGAATAGCTGGAGTTATAGGTTTGTGCCACTTTGCCTGGAGCCAATTCTTTTTTGTACTAAGGATTTTACCCAGGAGTGCTTTACCACTGAGCCACATCTCCAGCCCTTTTAATGTTTTATTTTGAGACAGGGTCTCACTAAATTTCTTAGGTCCTGCTAAATTTTGAGGCTGGCCTTAACCTTGGTGATCCTCCTGCCTCAGCCTTCTGAGTCGCTGGGATTACATGTATGGTCCACTGCACCTGGTTGCAAATTCTTTTTTTTTTTTCTTTAAATATTTATTCTTAAGTTTTTTTTTAGGTGGACACAGTATCTTTATTTTACATTTATGTGGTGCTGAGGATCGAACCCAGTGCCTCGCCTCGTGCATGCTAAGTGAGCACTGTACCACTGAGCCACAACCCCAGCCCTGCAAATTCTTGATATATTCAGGATTTGAGTTCCTTTTTGATTATTTATATTGCATATATATTTTCCCATCCTGTGTTTATTCGTGTCTTTTGATAAACACACTCTTATTTTAATGAAGTCAAGTATATTAATATTTTTCTTTTTAACTATTTTTTTAGGTCTTATTTAAAAATTATTTCCTCACTTTGAGTTTAAGTATATGTTCCTTTGAAGCAAATGTATGATATGTCAAGATCATTGTATTGTCTTGAACAACTAATAGAAAAAAGAAAAGAAAAAAAAAATTATGTAAAACTATGTATTTGCCAAAGTTTGAGTTTCTTATTTTCTTTCATAGTGAATTTCTCTATTATTTATAAAGATAATTATGCTTATAAAAAAAGAATATGTTCCTTTTTAAAAATATTTTTTAAGTTATACATGGACAGAATTTCTTTATTTTGTTGTTTGTTTATTTTTATGTGGTGCTAAGGCGAATGCTCTGCCACAGAGCCACAACCCCAGCCCAAGAGTATGTTTTTCTGTTTTCTTGTAAGATGCTATTGTTTTGTTGTTAGATCTACAGTTCACCTGGAACTGATTTTTGTGTATAGTGTGAGGTAGGAATTGATTTTCATTTTTTTCCCCTGTAGATATCCAAGCGTCCCAGTGAAAATGTCATACATTTCCAGTGATTTTCAGTGTCACCTTTGTCCTGAATTAAATAAAACAGAAGAAAGTAATAAAGAGCAGAAGCTAATGAAATGAACAAACAAATAGTAGAGAGGTTCTATAAAACCAAAAGTTGGAATCTTGACAAAGCTAATGAAATTGATGACCATTAATAATCATAACTTTAATAAAGAGAGAACACACATATTACCAGTATTAGGAATAAAGATTTGGAATTTATTGCTCTGGAACCTATATTCCTTAAAATGAAGAGGATACTATAAATAAGTTTATGCCAATAAAGTTTAAAATGTTATATGAAATAAGTTTTAAATTTTACTGTAGATAAATTTATCACCCTTTTTTTGTGGATTGTGCTTTTTACATCCTCTTTAAGAAACTCTTGGCTGGTGCTGTGGCACACACCTATAATCTCAGTGACTTGGGAAGCTAAAACAGGGAAATTGCCAAGTTCAAGGCCAGCCTCAGCAACTTAGCAAAACACTGTCTTAAAAAAAAAAAAAAAAAAAGGCTGGGTTGAGTGCTTCTGGGTTCAATTCCCAGTACAGCAAAAGACTGAAAAACAACACAACAACAAAGCTCTTCCTTTGCCTCATTAATTTTAGGGATAAGATCTTCTTAAATTGTACAGGCTGTGAAACATGAAATCCTCCTGAAGCTTCCTGAGTTGCTGGAATTGTAAGCATGTGCCATTGCACCTGGCTAATTTATTGTTAAATACTGTCTTTAGGGCTGGAGAGGTAGCTTAGTGGTAGAGCACTTGTCTAGCACTTCTGAGGCCCTGGATTTGAGCCTCAGCACTGCAAAAGAGCAAATAAATTACTGATCTAGAGTTTTAAAAGTTTGGCTTTTCATAGTTACATATTTATTCTGTTTGAAATTTATTTTTTGTGTATGATGTGAGGTATGGATCAACCCTCCCCATATATTGTAAAACTGTTCCTTCTGTGCTCTTACATTATGTAATTGTTTCATGTAATACAACTTTGAGTGGTGATGGGAGTCTCCTGTTAAGCTTTATGTGTGTGTTGGCAAATACAGTTAACTGGTCCAGTTTTTTATTCCTGTTTTGTTCCTACTTGCAAAAGAGTGCTCAGAGTCCTAATAAGTACTGCCTTTCAGGCCCCATAATGTGTCCTTGTGTTGTCTAGCATGTCTGGAATTTGTGTAGGCTGTACTGGGGCAGGGAAAGGAGAGTTCCTTTGTCACACAAACAAGGAGGAAGCTTTTTTCCTGTCTCTTCGATTTACCAATGCCTCATCAGAAGCTTTCAGCACTTATGTAAGAAATTTATTTTATTTTTCTTGAATTTGGAGCAAACTTGGAGTTTGTTTTAAAATATTTTAGAATAAGGAGTTGTTTTTGCTTAAATTTGCTTAAATATTGTATTTTCTGTAGTCATAGAAATCTCTGAAGTTCTTGAATGTGTTCCTTTATATTCTTGGCTTTTTGTGGCATTGCATATTGTTTGGAAAGGTATTAGTGGGCTTTGTCATATAGGTTAACTTTTTAAAAATAACCTCCATCTCTTATCTTCCTTTTTCCTTCTTTTAAAATTATTTCCATGTCTTAGGTACTGTCTTATACTACAATGAAAAAAATGAGAAAGAGGTAAAACAAACAAAAAACTAGCTTAATGAAAAATTTAAGTGTATCTGTAACAAATAGCAAGAGTAATAAACTTGGGAGGGCAGAAGGGAAAAGAAAGGAGATTGTTTATTTGTTCTTTATGTGTTAGGACTTCCAATGTGTCTTTTTCTTGTATTTCTTGCAGATAGCTAGGGGCAGCCTGGACTCTCTTTCTACCTGTTCAGGTTGTTCAGGAGGGAGTCTCGGGGTTGATGGCCAGGAGGAAGGACTCTGTTGAGAAACTATATAGCTACGGGCTTTGTGCCTCTAGCTCCTTTCTTTCTTGAGTACTTGATCCAATTTAGTGCTGGAAGAGTCAGCTCTGATAAAAGTTTTAAAGTCTTAACAGATCATGCTCTGGACATTAATAAAATTAATACAATTCTGTAGTTTTTATGTGTATATGTGCTTTTACTTCACGAATATAATGGATATTGTTCATAAATGGTTATATGTTAGAACTAATTTGATTTGAAATTAGTTATTCAGAATTAAAAGGTATTTTAATTCCTTTAAAATTTCATAAATGATTAGTTTAGGCTCTATAAATTATGTTTCTCTTTGGTACTTACACATTTCATGATTTTTTTGACTTCTCAGTAAGTGCTGATTTCTCATTGGCAGTGATTATAAATAATAGTTCTATATTGACTCTTGTTTCTTGCCTGAAATACTGACATTTAAAAAAAAAAAAAAAAGAAAGAAAGAAAGGCTCTTGTGCCAGGTGTGGTGGCACAACCTATAACCCCAGCAGTTTGGTTGGCTGAAGCATGAGGATCCTATGTTCAAAGCCAGCCTCAGAAACTTAAGAGAGGCCCTAAGCAACTTCTTAGTGAGACCCTGTCTCAAAATAAGAAAAATAAAAAGAGCTGGGAATGTAGCTTAAGTGGTTAAGTGCCTCTGGTTCAATCTCCAGTATATATATATATATATATATATATATATATATATATATATATATCACAAAAAAAGCAGCCTCCCCCTTCGCACTTTTATTGGCCAGGTGCTGAAGCACTCACCTGTAATCCCAGTAATCCCAGCTACTTGGGAGGCCAAGGCAAGAGAATCTCAAATTTGTGATTAGCTGTAGCAATTTAGTGAGAATCTGTCTTAAAAAATGGTTCCCTACTGCTAAATTTGACTAGCTTAAAATGCCTGTGGTAGAGCACTCCTGGGTTCAATCCCCAGTATCCACAAGACACACACACACACACACACACAAAGTCTCTAGTCAAAGGTTTAGGGTGGAAGTGCTTCTGATTCTGATTGGCTTATATTATATCATTGGCATCTTTAAGTTTATTTAGGAAAAATAACCTATGTTAGTGTGTAAAATGGTTGAAGGGATAAGCTTTCCAAATTCCTCTCTGAGTGACTTTTTGGCTTTGGAACACACATTCGTATTTCTACTTTTTTTTTTTTTGGGCCAGGGGCCCTTTACCACTGAACTACATCCCTATCCCTTTTTATTTTGAGACAGGGTTTTGCTAAATTGCCCTGTCTCAAAGGCTGGCCTGGCATTTGCAATCCTTCTGCCTTAGCCTAGTCATGAGTTGCTGGGATTATAGTGGGATGCTACCACACCTTGCCATTAAATTTTCATTCGATTTCTCAGGATACATTATAATTATAGAGCAAAGAAAGAATCTACTAGCCACCAACTGAAAATTTGGTCTGTTGATTAAAATGCTTTAAAACTGTTGGATGTGGTGGCTTATGCCTGTAACGCCAGCAGCTGGGAGGCTGAGGCAGGAGGATCATGAGTTCAAAGCCAGCTACAGCAAAAGTGAGGCACTAAGCAACTCAGTGAGACCCTGTCTCTAAATAAAAAACAAAATAGGGTTGGGGCTATGGCTCAGTGGTTGAGTGCCCCTGGGTTTAATCCCCAGTACCAAAAAAAAAAAAAAAAAAAAGTTTAATACTCTCAAGTAAGTAGAGGTGAACTTTGAAATTTACTCATGCCTTGGGCTGGGGATGTGGCTCAAGTGGTAACGTGCTCGCCTGGCATGCGCGGGGCACTGGGTTTGATCCTCAGCACCACATAAAATAAAATAATAAAGATGTGTCCACCGAAAAAACTGAAAAATAAATATTAAAAATTCTCTCTCTCTTTTGCTTTCTCTTTAAAAAAAAAAGAAATTTACTCATGCCTTGTTTTCATTATACTGTTATTAAAATTATCTGTGTAGTGTTGCTAAAGTGTATTATTGATTAGTTAAATTAATATTTAGTTAAATTAATATTTAGAGGTGTCATTTTTTTCTGTACCTATTTTTTAGTACCTATGATGTAGTGAACAACTTTTAAATTGTGATTGTTTTTATTGTGAAATGTTTATATGAGTCAGGTGAATTTAACTTTGCCTGAATGAGATGTGATAACTTGTTCTTTCTGGCTTGTGTTTTATCTATTCATTGGTTATATAATAGATGACTGTATAATGTATAATAAGGATTAGAACAAGCCATTAGAGTCAATTAATGATGGGAATAAACAATATTTCTGCTAATAGAGATGGAATAATAGAGTTCTTTTTTTCTTTTAGTGGTATTAGGGATTTAATTTTATCCCCAGTTCTTTTTAAGTTTGAAATTTTTAAAGTTTTTTTTTTATACTGAGAATTGAACTCACGGGTGCTTTACTACTGAGTTATATCCCCAGTCCTTTTAAATTTTTTATCTTGGGACAGGGTCTCACTAAATTGCCTTGGATGGCCTTGAACTTGTGGTCTTCTTGCCTCTGCTTCTTGATAGTTGGGATTATAAGAATGCATCACCACATCAGGTTAATAATACAGTTCTTAAATGCAACATATTAGAAGTAAAAAAGGATTCAATAGTTAGGCATTGGGAAACAAAGAACAGAGAAGAAAATATTTTTGAGAGTCAAAGGAGCTATGCCAGGAGTAGAGTCAAATGTGACGTGGGAGTAGAAAACCAGTATAGGGACCCTAGGGAGAAGAAACTTTCTGTGCAAAGGTAAGACTTAGGTGATGGATACGTCAAAGGCATCCAGAACCGAACAATTTTAAAATAAAACTGGGCTAAAGTTACAGCTGTGGTAGAGTGTATATCTAGCATGCTGAGGCCCTCGGTTCAATCCCCAGTGCTGCTAAATACATACATATGTGTGTAAGTTAAAAAAAAAAACACCTAATTTTGGATCTGAACAAAACTGAGTATCTATTTCATCTACCTGTAATTATGAAATTTATTTTTTTCTGACCTCTGAATTTATTTGTACAAACAGCACAGGAGAAAACCAGTCCCCTACAAACAGGGGCCCAGAGGCACACCAGTCCTTCTGTCCTCACATTTGAGGACAGAAGCTTTTACTATGGAGCCTTTGCAGGGGCCTGGGCATCCTTGGAGTCTGCAGATAACTCCCACCTTTGGGAGCAGGAGCAGGAGCTGGAGCAGGAGCAAATACTAGAGCTGGAGTTGCAGCCCTGGGTCTTAGTTTGGGCTTAGGTTTTGGCCTTTGGCTGGCAGATCCTGCAACCCTGAGCCCTGAGGGCATGATGAACATACTTCCTGAGCTTGGGGTGGGCAAAGAAGGCAAGGCAATCAGGCTCGTAGCTGGCACCCTTTCACATCTTGGGCTTAACCTCCTCAGGCTTCACAAGGACTTTGATAGCCTTGGCATGTGTGTTCATGGCCTTGTTTGCCTACATTGTTTTCAGGCCCTTGTTGTTGTGCTTCTTGGCAAACCACATATTTTTCAGGAACTTGGGGTCTACCCTTTTAAGAGAGTTATATCTTGGGAGTTCTTGATGCCATTTCTGTGCCATTTTAGGGACTGGTTGTGCATGATGTGGTTCTTGGACTTGGCCATGTCAGCACCATCAGCTGCTGCTCCTGGAGCAGTTATGACTGGAAGAGGGAGGACTATGAAAACTTGTTGTGAGGAACTGACTACAAGAGCAGTTGGCTCAATTAGAGAGGGCAGTTGGGAAACCTCAGCCTGTGTGTGGACTCAGGAACCAAATAGCCCCTCAGGTGGGGCATATAAAAAACATACAAAAATGATCTCCCCAAAAAGATTCCTCATTTTTTTCTTTTTTCAGTGATGCCATCTGTAATTTTATCATCTGCAATGATTCTTCCCTTCGAGGTCAGCCCATTATCTTCAATCCTGACTTTTTTGTGGAGAAACTGCGACATGAGAAACCTGAGGTGTTTACGGAGTTGGTGGTCAGCAATATCACAAGGCTTATTGATTTACCTGGAACGGAGTTGGCTCAGCTGATGGGGGAAGTGGACCTTAAGTTGCCTGGTGGGGCCGGCCCAGCATCAGGATTTTTCCGGTCTCTAATGTCTCTCAAGCGGAAGGGTAGGAGATGTGTCTGTGAAGGGTGGGCAGTTCTCATTGGCTCCTCAGGCTTTTCGCTTTTTTTTTTTTTTCCTTTGAGACAAGGTCTGTCTGTGTTGCCCAGGCACAACTTGAACTTCTGGAGTGATCCTCCTGAGTGCTGGGACTATAGGGTGTGCCCCACCATGCCCAGTCTTCTCTTGGCTTCACTTCTAACATCTGAATATTCACTGAGAAGTTGTAACTAACCCAAAAAATTGGTCATTTTTTCTCATTTTCATAAGTAGAGAATGTTAAGTACTAGTAATAAAAATGACAAAAACTAGGTAAAGAAATAATTAAAGAAAATATATTCAACCCTGTGAGATGACATGATTAGTTTAGGTAGTTATCAGGGTCATCTTAATTTTTAGGCTACGTTAATAGTGTACTAAAGTAATATTTAATTTTCCAGATTTTAAAAAAATTTTTGAAATGATATCTTGGCTGGCATCAAACTCCTGGGCTCAAGTAATCCTCCTGGTGTGCATAACTCCAGGGGTATAATTATTATATTAATAATTTTAGGTCTGGGGTTGTGGCTCAGCGGTAGAGTGCTTGCCTAGCGTGTGCGAGGCCCTGTGTTCCATCCTCAGCACACATAAAAATAAATTAAAGGTATTGTGCCCAACTACAACTAAAAAAATAAATATTAAAAACATTAAAATAATATTTTAAAAAACAACTAAAAACTTACATAGCTAAAGAGTAAAGAAAGCCTGTACATTTTTTTTAAATGTATATATTTTTAGTTGTAAGTGGACATAATACCTTTATTTATTTTTATGTGGTGCTGAGGATTAAACCCAGTGCCTCATGCATGGCAGGCGAGTGCTCTACCACTGGGCCACAACTCTAGCCTCAGCCTGGGCATTTTTTATTGCAGTATTTCTCAAATGTTTTCATTCTATGGAATGCTTTTATAAAGCAGGTACCTATAAATTACCCAAAAAGAGCCTTTCCCATAAATAAATAAATAAATAATAGAACATTTTTGTTTTTTAGTTGGACATAATACCTTTTTTTATTTATTTGTATGTGATGCTGAGGATTGAACCCAGTGCCTCACATGTGCTAGGCAAGTGCTCTGCCACTGAGCTACAACCCCAGCACAGCTTTTGATAACACATGAAAGAGGTGGCATTTTATTAAATAAAAGGAATCATTAAAGTAGAAAAATGCTTAAGCATTAATATATCCAATCCTGTAGCAACTCCAGTGGATAATCAATCATAGTTTAAGTTCTTTTTGGTTTGTTTTTAAATTAAATAGTAACGTGCTAGGTATTGTTATTTAAATATGAAAATAGTCTTTGCCTTCAAGGAACCTACAGTCTAATACTGAACTTGAGAGAAGTGGTTGAAAATTGATCTGATTGTGTTTTCTGGTACACGCACTTCCATTGCTAAACTTTTTTTTTTTGTTGACCCTTTGAAAACATTTGCTGAACTGTGAAATGTGCTGCTAGAGTAGTTTTAAGTATGATGGTTTTATACTATTTATGTGAAATATAGCCCTATCCTGCATACGGTTTTACAGAAAAAGGAGTGGTATTTGGATCCCCACTGACAGAGGAAGGCATTGCCCAGATATACCAACTGATTGAATATCTGCACAAAAGTAAGAGTACTTCAAGTTTTATTGTTCTTTGTTAAATGAGGACTTGTAAGTTTTTCATTGAGATCTAACTGCCTTGAGCTTTGTAGATGCCAGTTAACTCAAAAAAAAAAAAATCAGTAATAATTAATTTCAGGTGGCAGATTTTTAAGTATATTTCCTTTTAAACTTCATCTTATGTATTGATTTGCCATATATTCTCAGAGATGTATATTAATTGCATAGTGCCTATGAAATTACATTTCCCCTTTTACTCAGATATTTCTTTTTTAAAGAATTCATTGTCTCTAAAGAATCATTACATTTATTTAAGGGAGAATGGTATTTTTTCATCTTTCATTTTCAGAATTCCATGATTAATATTCTTCACTTAATTTCCCCTCTCCTCACTCCATTCCTTCCTTCCCTTCTTTCTTTGCAGTACTGGGGCTTGAACCCAGGGCCTCATGCTTGCTATGCAAGCACTCTACCACTAGGCTACATTCCCAGCCCTACATTTCATTTTTTAGGAGTCATACTGTTGATGTCATTGCTCTAAGTGCTTGGTACAGCTGAGAATGTGTGAAATATATGGCATTATATGATGTCTTGATAAATTCAACATGTCTTCTTAATCAACCCAAATGCTTATTTATAACTTATTCTGTGGTGGGACATTGTGCTAGGAGTTAGAACACAGGTTACAAACTAGCAGCTTGAGTTTAAGTCATCTATATTTACGTTTTACTTGTTGGCAAAGGATTAGATTAAAAATAAAATTAGTTATTGGTGTTTTAAAGTGGGGAGAATCCAGGTTTTCAATTTCTTTGGGTGGTAGGAACATATAGCATCCTTGGGCCCCATTGCCACGTGGACACAATCAGATGGAGCACAGAGATGTTCTCCAGTTTGTTATGGTCCTGTTTGGTCCTTTATCATTACCTCCCTGGCCCTGAAGTCATGTGAACTCCTGAATAAGGAGGTTATGTAAAAGTGAAAACGTGGACATCCTTCTTCCAGATCAAGCCAAAACTATATGTCTTCCCCCTACCCTTTTAATATCTCCTTAGATAAGCATAGAACCTAGTTAGAAGGGAAGAATAGTTTAGTTGAGATGACCCTAAGCTTCCGGGAATCTCCTAGACTGAAAGGTGATCTAATGTGTTAAGAGTTCTGGTTCCTGGACCAACCCAGAGTCTCTAAGTTTATTCTGGACTGGAGAAATCAGTTTAAGCAGCAACAAACCTCTACCGAGGAACTTAACCCCTCCAGAGTATGGGAAGAACCAGAGCGAAGGAGTTCTCAGGGAGATTTGGTTTTTCTTTCTTTTTATTTTCCAAGCTCATTCTGATCATTGACTTGGTTAAATCCGGAGTCTCTATAAAGTACTGTAGAAGGGTGAGTGGTTCTTAACAGGAACATTCAGTTTAGGTGATCTCCAGGTGCTCAGGGACATCCATATATGTCTCCTCAGAGGGGCCAGTGGGTTCCAAACGTCTCTAGAAAAAAAAAAAAAGGCAAAATCTCTTTTTTAAGAGCTTTATAAAGGGTCTTTTAAATGAAAAAAATTACTTAGGTTATATGAATTAATCAAAAATTCTCTTTTTGCTTTCTTTTTACCTGTTTGCTTCCATGCTAAACAGACTTGCGAGTAGAGGGATTGTTTAGAGTACCAGGCAATAGTGTCCGACAGCAGATTTTAAGGGATGCTCTCAATAATGGAACTGATATTGACTTGGAATCAGGGGAATTTCATTCAAATGATGTTGCCACTTTGCTGAAGATGTTTCTAGGAGAGTTACCAGAGCCCCTGTTGACCCATAAACATTTCCATGCACACCTCAAAATTGCTGGTGAGTATAGAAAATGAGAAGGAGATGTAAATACATTTCTTTGAATTTAGTAAAATTCTTTGGGGTTTTGTGACTTGTAACTCACTGTAGTATTTCTGCTGATATTGGTTAAAATTTTGTTATATCACTGGACTTCTTGGGGGGTACTCTTAAGTATTGACCAGTTAAGTTTGATTTAGTTAATTTTTTTCTTGATAATTAAGCTTCTGATTAAGATAAGACACTGACAATAAGGTAAGGTCTGGAAGCCTAGCATAGTGCTTTGAATGTTTTAGTTGCTCAAAAAATAAATGCTTTTCATTGTATTGTATTATATTGCATGAATTCATGGGGTTCACACAACTCATTTAGTTATAGATTTGGTATGTTTGCCTTGTTTTGGCTAATATGTCTATTCCTCAGTTGAGATTGTCTACACTTACAATTTGTGGTTTTTTTTTTTTTAATTTTTTTTTTAGTTGTAGATAGACACAATATCTTTATTTATTTATTTTTATGTGGTGCTGAAGATTGAACCCAGTGCCTCATATGTGGGAGGTGAGCACTCTACCACTAAGCTACAGCCCCAGCCCCACAAATTTGCTTTTTAAAAATAATTTCATTTGTTTTCTGAATAGGCAATATATTCACATAGTTCAAAATTTAAAATATTCAAAAAAATAAACAATTAAAAGCCTCTTTCCCACTCTTGTTCCCTAGCACCCAGTTCTTCCCAGAGACAACCAGTGCTGTTGATTTTTAATGTAGTCTTCCAGAGATATTTTGTACACTTACATACATTCCTCCCTTTTTATGGAATGGTAGGGTATTACACACATGGTTCAGTGGTTTGCTTTTTTTCACTTAATGTATCTTGGAGAATGTTCTATTTTTACCTCACAAATGGTTGCCTCATTCTTTATGATTTTGTGGTAGGGAATTCATTCTTTAATTGCACAGCTATTATGTTGCCATAGGCTCTGAGTATACATAGTATCAAAATCCATGGAGCATTTACTTAGTTTTCTGCCCTTGAGCATTTCTTTCTCTTCTTTTTTTTTGGTACTGGGATTGAAATCAGGGGTGCTTTACCACTGAGCTACATCCCCAGCCCTTTTTTATATTTTATTTAAAGACAGGTCTTGCTGAGTTGCTTAAGGCTCATTAAGTTGCTGAGGCTGGCTTTGAACTTGCAGTCTTCCTGTCTCAGTTTCCTGAGCTGCCGGGATTATAGACAGCTGCCACTGCACCCAGCTCAGGTTAGATCTTTTTAAAAGCACTTTTACTAGCAATCTAGATGATCGAGTGAGTAATTCTGCTAGAATGTTATGTGATTTTACCCTTAATATGGGGGGAAATAAACTTGTTAGAGCTTTGGAAAAGATTTAGAAGATACTAATAAATTCTTTTTTGTGTGTTAACATAAGGATGCTTATTTTCATTTGCTTTCCTGTTGAGTTCATTCATTTAGTGCAGTTTTTGAAATCCTTCACTTCACTGACCCATGATTCACTGTTCCTAGAAAATATTTTAAGGTGTGGCCCTGTTGCAGCATTTGATATGCCTTGCTGATACCTGGAAGAATTTTCGTTTTCAATTTCATATTAACTGGATGTATTTTCTATAAATATTGTCTGCCTTTCCTGAAATTATTATTTAGTTTAAACAATTTAACACACTGAAATAATTTTCTGGTCCATATAAGTTATACCTAATTGGTTGTTAGTATTCTTTGAAATTCTGATTATGCAGGGGATTGTTTTTATTGATAACCTATGTTGCAGCCAGGCTCAGTGATGCATCCTTGTAATCCCAGCGGCTAAGGCAGGAGGATTGCAAGTTTGAGCTACTTAGTGAGACCCTGTCTCAAAATAAAAAATTAAAAGGACTAGGGATGTAGCTTAGTGTAAAGCACCCCTAGGTTCTATCCCCAGTACCAAAAATAAGATAACCTGTGTAGCCTGTTAGAGAAGACACAATGGTTTTGACCCCATGAGGAGCTGCTTGGATCATCCTGTTATTCACTCTGATTTTTATTTTAACCATAAAATATTTGAGGAGGAAAAGGGGAGGAGTAGCATTATAAAGGCATGTGTGGACATGTTTTCATTTTTCCTTGGTATGTACCTAGGAATGGAATTGCTGGGATATATGATAGCTCTAGCTTTTTAAGGTACTGCCAAGATGTTTTCAAGAGTGGTTATACCATTTTACATTCTTACCAGCAATGTAGGAGGGTTTAATTTTCTCTTTGCCAACATTTGTTAATGTCAGTCTTTTTGATTATAGTCATTCTAGTGGATGTTGAGTGGTATCTCATTATGGTTTTGATTTATATTTATTGACTGTTAATGATACTGATCATGCAAATGCATGTATATTGTATATTATCATTATTTTGATGGAAATAATGATAATATACATTATCTCACACATTAGTGTTTTACTAATAAGGGGTCTCACACATTAGTGTTTTACCAATAAGATGTATCCCTAGCCCATTAATACATTAATATGTCCATGGTTGCACTGGAAGTACCTGGCAAAATCTATCCTCCCCCTCCCTCCAGGGCGGGAGTCAAGCCCAAGGCTTTGTACATACTAGGGTGCTATAATTTTAAAATTTTGTTTGTGCTTGATTCTTTTTTCTCCTTTGGGAATTGAAGGGAGGATAATAGTAATAGTATTGGTTTTTCTTGCTTTTATTTTCTCCCTCCTTTTTAATATTTACTTTTATTTTTAAGATTTGATGCAGTTTGATAATAAAGGAAACAAGACCAATATACCAGATAAAGAGCGGCAGATTGAGGCTCTTCAGTTGCTCTTCCTCATTCTTCCCCCACCCAATCGTAACTTACTGAAGTTATTGCTTGATCTCCTGTACCAGACAGCGAAGAAGCAAGACAAGAATAAGATGTCTGCCTATAACCTTGCCCTTATGTTTGCACCCCATGTCCTATGGCCAAAAAATGTGAGTTTTAAGGGGAAGAGTAAAGATTGCTTGGTGTTCTTGGGCTGGGCTTCATCCTGTGGCTGTACCTTGATGAGGCTGTCAAAGGTCCAAGGTCCAATCTTCAGCTTTATGAGGTTAGGAGCTTTATCATTTCACCCAAGAGTTATCAAACTTGTGGGGGGGGGGCAGTTCCTGTAGCTTATAAATCAATTTCTGATAAACCTGTGTGGGAACTTACTAGTGAAAATTCTGGAAAATTCTAGTTAATAAACTAGAATACTCAGAAAACTTCCTTGGGAAACCAGATTAATTTCTGTAAATTTAGAATAGAGCTGTGTGATCTTACTGGATAATGTCACCAAGCTTTATATAAAATGACACATAGAGCAATCATCTTGCCTTGTCCTTCTGTTTCCCACAGATATAGTATCCTTGGATACAGTTGAATGTGCTTCTTCTTACTGAGACCACAATATTCTCAGTGACTTAAATAAGAACTAAATTATCTGAAATCTTTTAAACAAATATTTCATCTGAAGGCACATAATTATATTTCTGCCCATTTGTAATATATGGTTTTTTTGTATGATGGGATTGTGGACCAGGATACCTCACTTGGAAGCTATAAACAACTAATGTTACCTGTATCATTTTCTATACTTAGGCCCCTTCTTTGTAAACAGGGCATGATAGTAGTTTTTCCACTTACCTTACAATGTTGCTGGGAAGACAACAGAAATAGATGTGTTATAACAAGTTATAAAAGATGTTTGAGATTATAGGAAATGATAAAAATAAAAGTAAGGGAAAGAGGTTGTTTTACCTGACAAGTAGCTAGTAACAAAATAAGAGAAAGTTTTGGGCCAGAAAGAACTTCTGGGTGGGTTGGGGAAGACAGGACATACCAACTCTTGTCCATATTAAAAGAGTTAGCCTCATAGTGAAGAATATTAGAACCAGGTAACCAAGACTGTGGGAAAGGAGAGAGTAAACTGTGGTTATCAAAATAAGTATGTAAGGGGTCCTGGGAAGAGCAAACAGATAAAATAACAAAGGTACATGTTGAGGATGAGGGATTTGGTATAGAAGAGGTGCTTTAGTACTTTAAAAAAAAAAAAAAAAAAGAGGAAGCAGAGACAGAATGGAAATCAATGACAATTTGACTATGTTTTTAAGGAAAAGATGTCATCTTTGGTATCTGTTAGTAATGAGAGTTCGCCTTTGTTTTTATTTTATTTTTTAATTTTTTTTATTATTAGTTGTTCAAAACATTACAGAGCTCTTGACATATCATATTTCATACATTTGATTCAAGCAGATTATGAACTCCCATTTTTACCCCGTATACATATTGCAGATTCACATCGGTTACACATCTACTTTTTACATACTGCCATACTAGTGTCTGTTGTATTCTGCTGCCTTTCCTATCCTCTACTATCCCTCCTCCCTTCCCCTTCCCTCCCCTCCCATTTTCGCCTTTGTTTTTAGAGAAACTCCAGTTTCTCTGAAGAGGCAGTGTCCTTGATGGTTGTTGTGGGTTGTGTTCTTCCTATCCATTTTGAATCCTAGGCTGGATTTTCTTTAATTTTGCTTACATGTCTAATTAGGAAATGAATATTGATTCTCATGAATTTACTGGTCACTGTAGGAAATATGATTGTTCTAGATTATATCCAGTGGAAAGCTACTGAACTAATAGAATTAAACATTGTATTTAGAGTTACTTTTATTAGGGATAGAAATGATCACACACATAAGTATGTAAGGGGTCCTTCTGCCTTAGCTTCCCAGATAAAATAACAAAGGTACATGTTAAGGATGTTATTGGGAAATGGTACTTCCCAGCTGTTAATACCCTTTGTTCTCTTTTCCTCTGAACAGGTCACTGCAAATGACCTTCAGGAAAATATCACGAAGTTAAACAATGGGATGGCTTTTATGATCAAACACTCCCAGAAACTTTTTAAGGTAGGTAAGGGATGGCATTTGGTTGGTAATAGGATAAGGAAGATGGAGCAAAGTTGAATCTTAGATAAAAAAGAAAAAGTGGGCTCCTGGAAGAGAAGAGTCCTGACTGGCACTGTAAGCCAGAGTGGACAATGGAAAACCCTCCCAGGTGGGAGGAATGGGAGGCCCAGAGGTTCCAGTCCTGGGGTAATTGGCTCCACCCTTGGAATCATCCTGCTTTTTTTTCCTGAAAGGCAGCACATGCTGGCAGCTGTGCAGTTTTATCCTGCCTGCTTCCTGCCAGTGGGATTTTGAGGGTCTGACAGCCCCCTTTCATTTTGTACTCTTTGTCCCTTTCAGTCCAAACAGGCAGTGTTTCTGCCAACATAATTTTCTCAAGAACTTTGTGGGTCTTCTGTGGATTGCAATGGGGTTCATTCTGTTAGACAAAAGCCACATATACAAATCTTTTGAAGATAAATCCTCTACCTTGGTCTCCTGCTGCTAAGGCCGAGGGACAATCCCTTTAAGCTTCCTAAAGGCCCTCTGGTTCATTGAGAGGGTCTGGGAGGCACACTCTTCCTCTCTTGAAAGAGCCCTTTGTGTGACTGAATACCCTGACCTTTTCATGTTTCTAAGGTTTTAGCAAAAGATTGCATAGTCACATGCTTGGTCTTTAGAATATACCTACTCGATAGTGAATCTCTTAATTTTTTGTATCTTTTGCCATCTGGAGAAGCCAAGAATTTCTAAGATCATCCGGTTCTGATTCCTTTTTTCTTATGGTAAAATACTTATCATCTTAACATTCTTCTTTTTATTATTATTTTTTGGTACTGGGGATTTAACTCAGGGGCATTTACCACTGAGCTACACATTTCCCAGTCCTTTTTATTTTTTGAGACAGGGTCTCACTAAGTTGCTTAGGGCCTTGCTAAGTTGCTGAGGCTGGCCTCAAACTTGTGATCCTTCTGCCTTAGCTTCCCAAATTTCTGGGATTACAGGAATGCACCAACATTTATTTATTTATTTTTGAGGTGGAGTCTCACTGTGTTGCTCAGGCTGGTCTTCTGTGTTGAAGCGTACTCCTGAGTAGCTAAGACTTTAGGCCTAGGCCACCACATCCAGCTCATTTTAACTGTTGTTAAGTGTACAGTTCTTTGGCATTACGTATATTCACATTGTTGTGCAACCATCATTTTGGAGAATATGTTTCCTCCTTTTTAAATGAATATCATTAGAGATTCAGCACTCTTTATCTTGCAAAATTGGAACTCAATACTCATTAAACAATAACTCCTCATTCTCCCTCCCCTTAGCCCTGTCAACCACCATTCTACTTTATCTCTGAATTTGACTTTTTAAAGTACTTTATGTAAGTGGAATCATACAATATTTGTCTGTGATTGTTTTATTTCAAGTAGCATAATGTTTTCAAAGTTTATTATGTTATAGCATGTGTCAGAATTTGCTTCTTATTGTTCTTGTTCTTTCTTCTTTTTCTTCTCTTCTTTTACAGAGCTATACCCCCAACCCTTTTTATACTTTATTTTAAGGCAGGGACAAGTTAAGCCTCTAACTTGGGCTTCTTCTGCCTCAGCCTGCTGAGGAGCTTGGATTATAGCTGTGTGCCACCACACTCAGCTTCTTTTTGTGTTTAATGCTAATTTTTAAAAATTGTGGTAAAATATATGTTGAGTATCCTTCATGTGAAATGCTTGGGACTAGAAGGGTTTTGGATTTTGGAATATTTGCAAATACAGAATGAGATATGTTGGAGATGGGACTAAAATTTAAATATGAAATTCATTTATATTTCATATATACCTTATACATATAATCTGGAGGTAATTTTATGCAATGTCTTTAAAGCACCTGTGTTTTGATTGAAATATAACACAAGGCCAAGTATAGAATTTCCCTTGTATTATCATGTCATTACTCAAAAAGTTTCAGATTTTTGTAGCATTTTGGATTTTGACTTTTCAGATTAAGATGCTCAACCTCTATACAAAACATAAAATTGATCGTCTTAAGGGTTTTTTTTTCTTTTAACTTTTTAAAAAAATATTTTTTAGTTGTAGTTGGCTACAATATTGTTAATTAATTAATTAATTTTTATGTGGTGCTGAGGATCGAATCCAGGGCCTTGCCCATGCTAGGTGAGCACTCTACTGCTGAGTCACAACCCCAATCCGTTCTTTTAACTTTTTTTTAAAAAATATTTTTAGTTGTAGCTGGACATGGTATTTTTATTTAATTTATTTATTTTTATTGATGGACCTTTATTTATTTATTTGTTTATATGTGGTGCTGAGAATCGAACCCAGTGCCTCACACATGCTAGGCAAGCGCTCTACCACTGAGCCACAGCCCCAGCTCTTTAATTAATTCATTTTTATGTGGTGCTGAGGATTAAACCCAGTGCCTCAGTCTGTGCTAGGTAAGTGCTCTAACACTGAGCTACAACCCTAGTCCTTAACTATTTTTGTCTTTTGCTTTTGGTACCAAGGATTGAACTCATGGGCACTTAACTACTGAGCCACATCTCCAGCATTTTTTTTTTTTTTTTTTAAATATTAGAGACAGGGTCTCACTGAGTTGCTTAGAGCCTCGTTTAGTTGCTGAGGCTGGCTTTGAATTTGTGATCCTCCTGCCTTAGCCTTACATTCTAACTTTGTCTTATTTTCTCAAAGTCACTTAACTTCTTCCTCTATTTTCAAATGTTTCCTATAAACTATAAGTTAGATCTAGAATCTTGATTAGATTCAAGTTGTAGGTGGTGTTTATATATATCATATTGCAGTACATTAGGAGACACATGATGTTAGATTGTCTCACTGTGATAATTTTGTTATCGGCCAGATCTCTTCATTATAAAGGGACATTTTCTCCTTCCCAAATAGTGAATAACTTATAAGGTAAATCTCTAATATATATTGGTTTTAGCATTTGTTGATAATCCTGCCTAGGATCTGTGATTACGTTAGGTATTACAAAAGATTGATTTTCTAATTCTGTTATTTAACCCATAATATATGACTTTATTTTTTGGAGAAGATGTTTTCTCCTTTTTAAATAACTGTCATTAGAGACTCATGGATTTTTATGTATTCATGGTGTTGGTCAGTTTCATTTATTCATTTTGATAATTTTCTTCCAAATTTGGGCATTGATGGCCTTTATAAGCAACCCAGTGCTTCACATATATGAGGCAAGCACTCTACTGCTGAGCTACAACCCCAGCCCCTCCTTATAGATTTAATTTCACTTTTTGAACCTGTAGTATATTTACATGGTTCAAAAGTCACAACTACCAAAAAAAACCCAAAAAGCAAAAAACAAAAAACGAGAAATTGCAGTCCTTTCTCTAACCATCTTCATTATTTTCTGGTTTATTTTCCTACTATTTTTGTTTTTTTTGTGGTACCAGCGATTGAACTCAGGGACACTCGACCGCTGAGACACATCCCCCAGTCCTATTTGTATTTTATTTAGAGACAGGGTCTCACTGAGTTACTGAGGGCCTTTATGTTGCTAAGGCTGGCTTTGAACTGGTGATCCCCCTACCTCAGCCTCCCTGGGATTTCAGGTGTGCACCATTGCACCCAGCCTTACTGTTTCTTTTTTTAAAAACAAAGTAAATGTACATACATGTTTATGTTCTTATTTCCCCTTCTTTCTTACACATATACTGTTCTGTGCCTTTTCTCATTCAGTAGATCCTGGAAATTCCTCCATATGCTTCATAAAGCCATTCAGCTTGTCTCCCTCCCTTTTTTCTCTTCCTTTTCTTTTCATTCTTCTCTCTCTTTTTCTATTTTCTCTGTCTCTTTTCTTATTTAATGACTGCATAGTAGCACATTATATGGATTTATGAAAGTTCACCAACTATTAATGAACATTTAGGTTGTATCTAATCTTTCTGTTGTTGTTGTTTCAGTTTTGGGGATTAAACTCAGGTCCTCACATATGCTAGGCAAGCAGCTACCAGTGAATGCATTCCTACCCTTTTTATTTTTTTTATTTTGAGACAGGGTCTCTCCTAAGTTGCTGAGGCTGGCCTGGAACTTTTGATCCTCCTGACTCAGCCACTACAATCTATGGGAGTCCAGGGGTGTGCTGCCAGACCCTACGTGTGTCCAATCATTCAGTTAGTCTTTTATTTTAATGTTTTATTTTTTAGTTGTATTTGGACACAATACTTTTATAATATTTATTTTTATGTGGTGCTTAGGATCGAACTCACAGCCTTGCACATGCTGGGCGAATGCTCTACCCCTGAGCCATGACCCCATTTCCCATTTGATTAATCTTTATGTTTCTGGAGTTACATCTTCAGGATAGATTCTCAGAAGTGAGATTCTGGGACAATGGGTAAATGCAAATGTAATTTTATTAGATATTGTAGTATTCTTCTCTATAGTGATTATATTAGTTTACATTTAATAAAATAGTGGTTGTAATAAAACACTTCTACCTGGAGTGTAAACAGGGTATTTGTTACAGAATTCTATTCTATAGTAATCCTGAATGGTATTTTCTATACATGATTCCAAAATGTGATCCAGAGACCACTTGCAATTTGTCAGGATTTGGGAGATTTTTTTTTTTTTTTGGTCAAATATAAGCATTTTTTATAAATGTTTATATGTTTGTTTCTGGCTCACTTGAGTGTATTCTTGCCATATTTGATTTTTAAAACAGCAACAACTACATCAGTGTCTTTTCATAGTTTCCCCATCAATTTTACTGAGGGGTCTCTTCAGTTGCAAGAGAAAGGAAGCTGCGGAATAAGGCATTTTGTGCCATCTTTGGCCTTTCCAAAGTCATCTAACAGATAATTTTGAGAACCATTGTCTTTTTGTGGACTTGAAAGAATTTTAGGTCCTACTAACCTCTTGGTCCTGGTATTCTTTTGTCTTCTTCCCAGGCTCCTGCTTACATTCGGGAATGTGCAAGATTACACTATTTGGGCTCCAGAACCCATGCATCAAAGGTAAGATAGGAAACTGCTCTTTAGAGTTAAGATTAGTGGAGTTGTTTTTTTTTTTTTTTTAAAGCATGAAATTAAAGTAAAGCTATGCAAAATAAAAATATTATTTTAATGTCATAGCTTAAAGTTATTTAGTCATTGGGCTGGGGATGTGGCTCAAGCGGTAGCGTGCTCGCCTGGCATGCGTGCGGCCCAGGTTCGATCCTCAGCACCACATACAAACAAGGATGTTGTGTCCGTCGAGAACTAAAAAATAAATATTAAAATTCTCTCTCTCTCTATCCCTCTCTCTCTCTCTCTCTTTAAAAAAAAAAAAGTTATTTAGTCATTTCATCACAAGGAGAATGATTGAGTGGAAAGTTACAAATTGAAATAGAAATGTCCCTATGGGCAGTGTTCTTGCCTGCTATCAGATGTCCTCCACTGGTGGATGAAAAGGTATCCTCTAAACAAGGGTGATGATGTAGACTGTATGTTTAAAGTTTTTTCATAAAACCAATATGCATTTTTATAGCACATGACATAAACAATCTGTAAATAACAAATGTATTAAATACTTTTTAGTAGCAATAGCACAGTTTTATGTAATTTGTTCTTTTATTTTTAAAATTTTTTTTTAGTTTTAAGTGGACACAATATCTTAATTTTATTTTTATGTTGTGCTGAGGATTGAACCCAGTGCCTCATGCATGCTAGGCGAGCACTCCACCACTGAGCCACAACCCCAGCCCTGTAATTTGTTCTTATTCAGGATCAATGGCATGATAAAACTCTATTCTATCAAATGGCTAAAAGACTTGATAGCACATGAATTTAGGGAAATGTGTGGTGCTTATTGATAGAAGATCACATATGATTATTTAGCTCTAATAGTGGAAAGTTAAAAAAAAAACTTCATAATCACTTTTTTTGAGTGTATATGTGTATGGTACTGGGAATTGAACCCAGGGGTGCTCTGCTACTGAGCTATATCCCCAGCCCTTTTTATTTTTTATTTTGAGAGAGAGTCTTGCTAAGTTATTGAGGCTGGTCTTGAACTTGTGATCCTCCTGCCTCAGTCTCCTGAGTTGCTGGGATTATAGATATGTGCCACTCTGGCCACAAGCACTTTTTAATGAATTTTAATTGGTCTTTCTTGGTTAAAAACTTAAAGATGTCATCATATGCTATTATTTTCTGCACTTGATTGTCCTATTCATCGAGCAAATATTGGCGTGACCAGGAAAACAGTATTTGATTTCAAGTAGTGTAATTGGTGTGTAGTTTTTCTTAAAGAGTTGTTTTCATTCCTTTACTGATGCCACACAGTTGTCACATTAAATTGTCACGTTTGGGAAAGAGCACCAGCCATGAAAGAATGCCCTTATGCTCCAGGGTGGGACTGTCACTTTAGTATCTGGATAACTTCACACTTATAGCTTAATCTATTTTTTCTAGTGAGAATGATGGTACTCTGCCTGCTTGCCTTATATGATAGCAGTAAGGATGACTTGAAATGAAAATATGCTTTGAAAATTGAACTTTTGATGGGCTTGGTGGCTTACATCTGTAATCCAAGTGGCTCTGGAGGCTCAGGCAGGAGGATCGAAAGATTGTGGCCAGCCTCAGCAACTAAGCAAGGCCCTAAGCAATTTACTGAGACAATATCTCAAAATAAAAAATAGAAAGAGCTTGAGATGTGAATCAGTGGTAATGTGCCTCTGGGTTCAATACCAAAACAGAAAAAAGAAAAAGAATAGGAAAAAAAATTGATAATTCTTGGTGGTAATATTCTAAATATATTAGGTTCTCTGACAGGTTATAGGAGGATGATTAATATAACCTTTATTAATAGGTCCCTTATCTGATAATTGTGTTAAGATTTTTCTTGTTCCCGAGTATAAAAATAGATGATATTTCCACTCTCCCTTTATTATGTTCTAGGTTTTTGTGGGAATCCAACAACAAAGCTGGAAGGATATATTAATTCACTTACCTTTTGAATTTCCTTTAGGATGACCTTGATCTGACAGCTTCATGCCATGCTAAGTCCTTTCAGCTGGCAAAATCTCAGAAACGGAACCGGGTAGATTGCAGCTCTCATCAGGAGGAGACCCAGCAGCGAACAGAAGAGGCGCTGAGAGAGCTCTTCCAGCACGTTCACAGTATGCCAGAATCTGCAAAGAAGAAACAGCTTATTAGACAGGTGCCCAAGGACAGGGGAATAGTGAGGGGTTTTAGGAACATGATCACATTTGTGGAATCACTAGGCAATATTGTTAAAGAATCTCATTTAAGTTTTGACTCTTTTTGAGACAAGCTTTGGCCCTACTAGAGAAAGAAATAAAGGCCCTTGGATTTCTGCAGTTAAATAGGAGGATTCAGAGTGTCTCTACTTTTGGTCATGTGCCAAGTTTTCTTAGAGCCAGCAATTAAAATATAATATTCCAAAGTTTAAACTCTTAACAAATTTTTCTGGCAAATTATTTGACTTTCTGAATCTTAGTTTTTTTTTGTTGTTGTTGTTTGTTTGTTTGTTTGCAAAATGGTAATAGTAATGTCCTTGTTTCATGGTTGTAAAGATTAGAGATAATGTACATAGAATGGCACAGTATAAATGGTAACTCTCAACAATAGAATTGTTTGTAGTTAGAAAAACACTATAAACCAAGGTCCTAGGCTGATTCTAGAAGGTAGGAATCTAGTGTTATCTTTGTTTATTTTGGAGCTATGGGAGCAAAATTAGGTCTTCCATTTGCTACTTTCAGCACTCAAAGCATAGTTTGAGTAAATCCTGACTACTTGGCTACTTTCTTTCTGAGGAAATGTGTTTGTCTCAGTCTCTCTTGAATTTTAACTGAACAGTTGGGGTCAGTTTGTTAGTTTGCTGTAATGTAGCAAATTCCTGACATATCAACTGACAGTTTTGGAGGTTTCAGCCTGTAACTAGTGGCCCTGTTGCTTTTGGGTCAGTGGTGAGGCAGGACATCATGGCAGGGCACATGTGGCAAAACTGTTTGCCCATGGAGGGGAAGCTAAATAAAGAGAAGGGGTCGTGGCTCCACAATTCCCTTGGAGGTCACACCCCCAGTGATCTAAGACTCCTACTAGGCCCTAACTCTTAAAGGTTTTACCACCTCCCAGTAGCACAACTGGCTGGGGACCAAGGCTTTAACACATGGACCTTTGGGGGATATTTCAAATCCAAGCTACAGGAGTCAGCCTCTTAACTTCTAGGACCTTGGAGGAAGAGTCAGTTTTTATATATTTATTTTATTCCTGATCTCAAGTATAGAGCCAGGTATAAACAAGTATTTAGAAAATGTTGAATGGAGCTATTATTAACAATTGATAAAGATCTTTTTGTTTTTTGGCACTGAGGCTTGAACCTAGGGGTGCTTACTAAGCCACATCTCCCTCCTTTTTTTTATATATTTATTTAGAGAAAGGGTCTTGATGAATTGCTAAATGCCTCGCTAAGTTGCTGAGACTTGCTTTGAACTCGCCATCCTCCTGCCTCGGCCTCCTGAGCTGCTGGGTTTACAGGCATGCACCACTTTGCCCAGCTTGATAAAGATATTTAAGTTTTTGGTCACTCTTTTTGAGATTTAGTAAATTGTCTATGACTGGATTTTTCAGGGTATTGGATGAGTATTGTTGCAGATTCAATGCCATCTAGTGACTTAATTTTCCATAGAAATTAAAATAGTAGTAGTTTCATATAGATGTAATAGATTCTCTCAAGAGTACTGACAGTTAAAGACAGTACATAGGAAAAGACATTATTTTTGCTGTTCTTAGAAAAATAGGAAGTTATAGAGAAGGGTAAAAAAAAAATCACTCATTCCACCAGTGTTTATATTTTGAACACTTCTTTTAGACTTTTTCCTATGGTATATTTTTATATAGTTATGATCATGTGATAAACTTTTTTTTTAATCTCTCTTTTTTTTCACCAAACTGAGCATAAGCACATTTTCATAGATGCTTGCAAACTCCTTCCATTCATTTTAGATACTCCCATACCTTTTTGAAAAAAAAATCATTTTACTATATATTTTTTCTTTATGATTATTAAAAATAATATGCTCACTGTAGAAACATCAAAACCTCTATAAGAATATAAAGGAAAAAATAAAAGGAACCTATCATATCCAGAGATAACCATTTTGGAGTATTTCTTTCTAGAGTTTTTCTTCCTGAATATATATTTTACATTTCTTTGTTACTTAATATATATTTAGTTTTATATTCTACCCTTTTCCTTTAACTTTATATCACAGACATTTTCTATGTCCATTGAAAGGTTATGAACATTTGAAGTTTTTGCATAATACATCGTATGTAACCTAATTTATGGACAGTTTGCCTACTATTGGACATATTGGGGAAATTAGATTGTTTTTTTAGTTTATAAATTTTTTTTTCATAAGTATTTCATTGTGTATCATTTCCTTGAAAAAGTATGACCAAAGGATGTGCAGCATTATTAGTTTTGACTGATATATGTCCCTTCCCTCTTTTTTCCCCCTGAAAAAAAATGTCAGTATTTGTTTGAATAAACTTTTAAATCTGAAATAATTTTAGATTTAGAGAAAAGTTACAAAGTTAATAGAGTGTCCACATACTTTTCACCCAGTTCCATATTATCAAACTAGGAAACTAACATTTAATGTACCACATTTTTGTTAACACTGTAGTCTTTTTTCAGATTTTATCAGTCTTTTTATTAATGCCCTTTTTCTGTTGTAAGGATCTAATCTAGGGTACCCCTTTGCATTAATACATGTTTACACATGCATACACATTCTCCATTTCTCTTTATTTGAATTTCATTTGTGGAAGAAACCAAATTGTTTATTCCCCAGAGTCTGGATTTTACTGATTGCATCCCTATGGTATTATATAATATATCCAACAGTCCTCTATATTTACTATAAAGTGGTAGTTAGATTTATTTCTGGGGGTTTGATCTGATTCCAATCCAGTTCTTTTCTGATAAGAACACCTTGTAAGTAGTACATACTTCATAATATGCATTTTTAAAAAATATTTATTTTTAATTGTAGTTGGACACAATACTTGTATTTTATTTATTTATTTATTTTTATGTGGTGCTGAGGATCGAACCCAGGGCCTTGCACATGATAGGCAAGCGTTCTACTGCTGAGCCACAACCCCAGCCCATAATATGCATGTTTTAAGAAATATGTATATTTTTTTAGTTGTAGATGTATCTTTATTTATTTATTTTTATATGGTGCTGAGGATTGAACCCAGTGCCTCACACTTGCAAGGCAAGTGTTCTACCACTGAGCTATAGCCCCAGACCCCATAATATGCATTTTTAAAAGGATCTGAATACTCCTTGCTAAAGAGCTTCCCAGAACATTTTATCAATTAATGCTTTTCACTGGTTGTACAATAATGATAACCATTTTATTGTACCTTTGCCAACATTTATCAGAAATGATGGGTTTTCATGGGTTCCAGTATTTTCAGGAAGAATCCTTACTAGATAACTAGAGGTAACTAAATTTTTGTTTTCTGAGATAATTAATTTTGAAAACTTCTTAGTACCCATATATAAAACAGTCACTTTTTAAACCTCCAGAATCTGAACTGATAAAAACATACAAGTTTACAATTGAGAATTGTAAAAAGTTTAGTTAGAAAGGGCAGAAGAGTAAATTCTTCAGTTAGGCACTATATTAAAACATTAAGACTATACAGTGTCTCATGTCTTCCCCTTTTCCACCTTAGATTCCTCCATACAAAGAACTCATGTTCATAGAATTGGAAGTTTGTGTTGTGATCTGTTATTCTTTGATGTTTAATAACTTAAAAAATTCAGTATGCAATTTATGTTAAATTGAGGACTGCTTTAGGTTGTGCCAATAACTATGTTAAAATGTTTTATGCAAAAAAAAAAATTGTTATTTATTAGCAGGAGCTCTTGGGAGAATTCCGTAAGCTCTCCAAGTCTCAATGTCCTTATCTGTAAAATAGGGGTAATAGGGGCTGGAGTTGTGGTAGAGCGCTTGCCTGGCATGTGTGAGGCCCTGGATTCGATCCTCAGCACCACATATGAATAAATAAAATAAAAGATCCATTGACAACTAAAAAAATATTTTAAAAAATATAGGGATTATAATTCCACATTCAAGGAATAGGAAAAATAGTACTACTCAGAGTAACTTAATATATTTTCATTTCTTTTTTTTTTAATATATTTTTTTTTTTAGGTGTAGATGGACATAATACAATGCCTTTATTTTTATGTGGTGCTGAGGATAGAACCCAGGTCCCGCCCATGCTAGGCGAGTGCTCTACCGCTGAGTCATAATCCCAGCCCTATATTTTTACTTCTTTTTGGAAATATTATTTCTGCTTTTGTTTTTTGTGTGCTGGGGATGGAACCCAGGGCCGTTCACATCTAGGGCCTTACCCATTCTATTTCTATTAATGCGCTGCATTCCGGGCCACCGTTTCTGCCTTTGTAATTTGCTGATGTATACATGCAGACTCATTTATTCCTGGAGTTTTGGGGTATTTACACTAGGAGAATATTAATAAAATGTTCTCTGTATTTTCTTTTAGTTTCAAAAGCAGTCTTTGACTCAGACACCAGGGCGAGAACCTTCCACTCCCCGGGTACAGAAGAGAGCCCGTTCCCGCTCCTTCAGTGGGCTTATTAAGGTAGGTATGCTGTGCTGTCTTTTTCAGTAATGATTGTGAGGAACTATAACAGTCTGACTTTTTCTTACGCATAAATAGGTTTCTTTAGTCCTTGGACTCCTTTAATGGATTAATTTATAAGGGGTAAAGGTAGGATTTGGAAAGGCTTTTATTTTTCAAAACATTTTGCTGTGTTTTAAATCAGAGATGGGGTTCTCTGGTGCAAAAGAAATAAAGGTTCTTCCTTCTCTTCTGGGGCTGAGGACAGAGTTCTCATTCCTGAGCAATGTGGATGGTCTCTTTTGCTTTCTGACCTGCTTTATAGTACACTTCTTTATTCAATTTGATAAACCCATGGAGACAGTGAGGAAGTTGAGAGATTGGGGACATTGTTAGAAAAAATGGATTTCTATTAGGCTAGTGAATTTTTATTACCTCAAATTTTGGTAAACTTATTTTTTTTTTTTTTTACTGTTGTTGTATTCTCTTTCCTTGTATCAAATTTACTAAAAATCTTACTTTTAGAATGAATGTAAAATATATTTCTGTGCTTTTGCTGCCATGACCTTATTTGCAGATTCAGTTGACAAGTCTTCACAGATGATCTGGACTTGTAGTTGAAAAATATTGCCATAAGGTGGCAGTAGATAACTTGGATATGGGGTTCAAATTTCCATGCATAAACTAAGGCAAGGTTCAGGTTAACTTGAGAGGTATTTTGTGTTCTGTCTTCTTTACTTCCTCCTTTCCAGGGGCTATCATCCCCAGTTCTTTTTGTTTTTTAACTTTTGAGACAGGATCTTTCTAAGTTGCTGAGGGTCTTGCCAAATTGCCCAGGCTGGCCTCAAACTTGAGATCTTCATCTCCTAAATCACTGGGATTATAGGTATGTGCCACCACACCAAGCCCTTTTTATATTTTTCATTTTGAGACAGGGTTGCTGAGGAGGGCCTCCAACTTGGAATCATCCAGCCTCAGCCTCCTGAGCCATTGGAATCATATCAGCGTGCCATCACTCCCAGCCTATTTTTCTTTTAAAAATTGTTTTAACATTATTAAGATATAAAAAATTCAGTAACATTAAGGAACCCTTTGATTATAACTTCAAGTTTATGTTTTAAAAAATGCATACCTTGGGGTCTGGGGATGTGGCTAAAGCGGTAATGTGCTCACCTGGCATGCACGGGGCGCTGGGTTCGATCCTCAGCACCACATAAAAAAATAAAATAAAGATGTTGTTCTACTGAAAACTGAAAAATAAATATTAAAAAAAATTCTCTCTCTTTAAAAAAAAAATGCATACTTCGGGCTCGGGTTGTGGCTCAGGGGTAGAGCATTTGCCTCAGATGTGTGAGGCAGTGGGCTCAATTCTCAGCACCACATATAAATAAATGAATAAAATAAAAGTCCATCAACAATTAAAAAATATATATTTTAAAAAATCCCTGTGGTGGGCATGATGGTGCATGCCTGTAATCTCAGCTACTTAGGCTGAGGCAAGAGGATTGAAAGTTCAAGGCCAGCCTGGGCAACTAAGGGAGATACTGTCTCAAGACAAAAAAATTTAAAAAAGGGCAGGGGATGTTTCCTGGTGGTAAACACCCCTGGGTTCAATCCTTAGTAACATCAAAAAACAACAAAACTTGTAATTTTTTCCCCCTTTAAGCTGCAGTGATTAGCAGTTACAGACTGATTTAACCCTAGTTTTTTGTTGTTGGGGGCAGTAGGGAGAGTGGTACTGGGGATTAAACTCAGGAGCACTCGACCACTGAGCCACATCCCCAGTCCTATTTTGTATTTTATTTGGAGACAGGATCTCACTGATTTGCTTAGTGCATCACCATTGCCAGGTCTGGTTTTGAACTCATGATCCTCCTGCTTCAGCCTCCAAAGCTGCTGGGATTGTAGGCATGTGCTACTGTGCCGGTTTTAACCCTAATTTTGATTCTTGTTACAATTTGTAAAAGTATAGAATTCACTTTTAATGCTGATCTGCTGGGGCCAGCAGCTTCTGGTATATTGGGCCTTCTTGATGTCAAAGTTTGCTTTCAGTAGAGTGTAAAGTTAACCCATGGAATGGGAGACAATATTTGCAAATTATATACCTGGTTAGGAGTTAATATCCCAAATATATAACAAACATCTATAACTCAACAGCAAAAACCAGCTTCATAGCCAGGTGCAATGATGAGTGCTTGTAATCCCAGCAGCTTGGAAGTCTGAGGCAGGAGGATCAAGAGTTTAAAGTCAGCCTTAGCAAAAGCAAGGTGCTAAGCAACTGAGTGAGACCCTGTCTCTAAATAAAATACATAATAGGGCTGGGGATGAGGGAATGTGTGTAGTCATTAATGATATAGAATTTCTGTTCAAGAGGATGAAAAAGTTGTGAATGGTGGGTTAATGGTTGGACAACACTGAATGTACTTCATACCACCATGTTTCTTTGACTGAAGTTAGATGCTATAGTTTTCTATCTTTGTGAGTTAGCTTTAGGTGCATTGCTAATTGTTGCTGGAAATGTAAATATAGTATTCTCTTAGCAGCTGCCCACTTCTTTACTATAATAGAATTTAGAACTTTATAAAGAGCTTATAATTCTATCAGGATAAAACATTTAAAACATAGTGTTAACAAATTTTTATAAATTAGAGAGCCAGAGTGTTTGTTATAAATGAAGAAATTTTTTTTTTTTTTCATATCCAGGATTTAACCCAGGGATTTTACCACTGAGCCACATCCCTTTTTAAAGTATTTTTATAGGGCACTGGGTTTGATCTTCAGCACCACATAAAAATAAAATAAAGATATTGTGTCCACCTAAAACTAAAAGATAAATTTTTTTAAAAAGTATTTTTATTTAGAGGCAGGGTCTCATTGAGTTGCTTAGGGCCTCACTAAGTTGCTGAGGCTGGTTTTGAACTAGAGATCCTCCTGCTTCAGCCTCTCCAGCTGCTGGGATTATAAGCATGTGCCACTGTTCCTGGATGTAGCTCAGTGCTATAGCACACCTGGGTTCAATTCCCAGTACACAAAAATAAGTTCCCAAAGACCTAGGTTCTTTTCAGTTCTTCACTTGGTTTTCCATGGCATTGGTTTTGTCCTGTAGGTAACTAATCTCAGTGCAGCAGTGTTTAGAGGACATGCTTCCTCATTCAAAGCATATAGTCTGTGTACCAGCATCTTTTTCAAAAGGGCTGCAGTTTGACTGGCTCTATCCTGTTTTCTTTAAAATTAAAAAATAAATTTAAACATTTCTCATCAGCTTAAGGTATAACTGACCCCTGCCGCCCCCCCAAAAAAAATCCTGCTCTGATCTTTCTTTTTGTAGAGGGTTTTTTTTTTGTTGTTGTTTGTTTGTTTGTTTTTGTGGTGCTAGGGATTGAACCCAGGCCTAGTGCACACAAGACAAGCACTCTACCAACTGAGCTATATCCCCAGCCCTGATCTTTCTTTTTGGCTAGGATATTTTTCCTCCAGAATGCCTCATGTAAATAATTTAAATAAATTATTACATCAGACTGTTTTGAATATTGCTGCTGATATTTATAATGTAAAATTTGATGTTTTAGTTTTGATGTATTCTTTTTTTTTTTAATGCAGATTTATTATCCAATGGGAAAAAAGAGGAAAGTTTTATCCAAAGATCATAGTATTGTCACCATTAGCTGTTACAGTAGGTTACATGAACTTCCAAGCTGTTCAGAGATGAAAGGGCTTTTAGCTGTGCTTTGAATATCAGTATAGTCATGTGATCTTCTTAAGAAGTACTGTACTCTCTTGTGGCTTTATTAGGAACTCTTAATAGAATTCCTCCAAAATTTCCAGTCCTGTGTGAGGAGATGACAAGGAAGCAAAATCCTATAGACCAGTCTCCATATCCTATTATGGGGAGGGGAGGGGACTCTTGACAGCTGCTAGAGATAACACATCTTTGGGGAGAAAACTATACTGGTATGTAACAGGCATTTCTTTTATGGTTTTAGAGGCACACTGCAGTTTGCTTGTGGTCTGTGATTTAAGTGAACTATAAAGTTTCTTCTAATGTCAGCCCTTTTAAATGTGGAGGAAAAGTGTTCACTTAAAGAAGAGCAATGATTTCAGGTGTTTTGATATGTTTTGGTTTCCCTTTTATGAGAGAGCCTGGGAGAATCTTTGAAGAAGTTAACAGAATAATGAGTTTTTTTTTTTTTTTAAATGATAGGAAATGTAGTTTAAAGGCCAAGATAGTACAATAAATGTTTGTAAATTAATTATTTTCTTTTCCTAAATCAGCGCAAAGTCCTGGGAAATCAGATGATGTCAGAAAAAAAAAACAAGTACTCTTCGCGAGAATCTGTGGCTGTGGATGAATTGAAGAGAGACAGCAAAGAGAACCTAAACTTAGTAAGATGCTATTTTGTGTACTTTCTCTCTGTATGTGCACATTTGTAGAGAGCTTGTGTTTTTTTTTTTTTTTTCTTCTTTTTCTTTGGTTGTTTGGATCTCACTATGTTGTTGAGGCTGGCCTTGAACTCATAATTGTTCTATTTCAGCCTCCTCAATAACTAGGGTTATAGGCACACACCAACCATGACAAACTTATGTTTGGAAAAAAATTGATATACAGTCATTTGTTTTACTGTGCTACTCTGGGCCATTCAGTTATGCTTTTTTTCAATTAATTCTTTCATATGCTGATATTGTCTTTCTATAGTTTTTAAGATCATTCAGCAAACATATTTTTTTAAAAATATTTTTTAGTTGTCAATGGATCTTTACTTTATTTACTTATTTTTTTGTGTGGTACTGAGGATTGAACCCAGTGCCTCACACATGCTAGACAAATACTCTACCACTGAGCTACAACCCCAGCTCTCAGTAAGCATATTTTAAGTTCAAGAAGACTATAACTATTCACAAGCAATAAGTGACCAATATGGTGCAGCAGTTCCGTAATCAAGTGTTGAGAGATTCCACAGGGCAGGTAACATTTGAGCCAGGCCTCCTTGGCTGTGCATTACCTGTGGGGTAGTCCTTCAGGGTGTCTCCAACCTGGCTGCTTCATTAAGCTACCAGTAAATCAGTTAAGATTAATGAGATGCAAATCATCAGTCTCAGTAAAACTCTTCACATTGAAATTGAATGTAAATAATTCCTCTGTTAGCTGGGAATGATGGCACATGCCTGTAATTCTAGTCACTCAGGAGGCTGAGGTAGGGGGCTTGCAAGTTCAAAGCCAGCCTCAGCAGCTCAGCAAGGCCCACACAACTTAATGAGACATATCTCAAAATAAAAAAAGGGCTGGGGCTGTGGCTCAGTGATAAATCCCCAGAACTGGGGGAAAAAATATTCTGTTAGTAAAGTATATCTGTAAGCACTGACACTAGAACATTCAAACCTTCATAAAATTTTCTTGTTTCAGGTATTTTCTGGCTCTCCAGCTATTATGATGACTCCAACAAAATTGAAATGGTCTGAGGGAAAGAACGAGGGGAAAAAAGGTACTAATTGTACTTATTGTCTGTTCTTGCTGAATGTACCTATTTAGTCAAATGGCAGTTTTTGAATTCCCAGGGGTGGTATATTTGGAGATGGTGAAATGTAAAAATGACAAGGCCAGGTCCTTGTGTTGAATTCTTTCATGAGATGGGTATGCTACTCAGTACTGCCCCAGATGCCAAGAGGTAGAGCTTCAAACAGATCTACCTCGTCCCTGCCTGCTTGGACTGACAGGACATATGTATAAGTTACCTTAAGAATATTTGTTAAGCAACTTTAAAAAAAAGTGTGAGTGATTCATGAGACCAACAACAAGTGCTTGGTGCATGCTGATGGAATGGTTATGTCCCTTTTCTGTGTAGTTGTCAGCCTTGATCAGCAAAACTTGTCCGATGTTATAGGACTCTGAAAATTGTATACCACATGTTTTTTGAGGCTGTTTAGTCCTGAAAGGATTGTTTAATGGTGAGACTGCTGATTGTTCTAGGTTCTTCTGGCAACTGCTGTGCTTTTCTCTGAAAGAGTTGGTAGTTCACTGGAAAGACTGTGATTTGTGTTGGTCCTTATTTGAGTCCTCATTCCTCTGACCAAGGAAAACCACTCATTCTCTCTGAACTACAATTTTCTCCTCTGAAAATGAGGATAATACAGGTGTAGCATCCTTAATTTAAATTTAGAAAGCTGAAGTCAGCCTTCAAAATCTGAAATTATCCCCAAGCAGTTTTTAAAATTTTTTTTTAGTTGTTGATGGATCTTTATTTTATTTATATGCGGTGCTGAGACTCAAAACCAGTTAGTTTTTCACACATGCTTACCCCTGAGCCATAACCCCAGCATTTTGACTTTTATTTTTATTTTGGTCCTGGAGCACACTGAAGCACATCCCCAGCCATTTTTTGTATTTTAGAGACAGGGTCTCACTGAGTTACTTAGGGCCTTGCTGAATTGCTGAGGCTGGCTTTGAACTTGCAATCCTCCTGCCTCAGCCTCCCAAGCTACTGGGATTACAGATGTGTGCCACCATGCCCAGTGTGCATTCTGACTTTTAGAGTTTTGGATTAGGGATATTCAACTGATAAAATCTGAAAATCCCCCAAGTCTGAAACTTCTGGTTCCAAGAATTTTGGATAAGGGATATTTATCCTATAGTTAGACCTACTTGACAGATTTATCATGAGACTCAATTGAAATAATATTTTTAGAAGTACATTATAATTATTAAGGCCTTATTATTACTAAGTTGTAATAGTTGTTACTGAGGAAAACCAGATGAGAGCTGGCTTGGTTATATATAGATGATCTCTAGCTTAACATGCTTGTTTTACTACTGAGACATGAGCATAGTTACTGTTTGAGACATCAGAAGTAGGAAGAGAACAAAAGCCCAATCCTTGTGGATTAATCTTCATTCTTATCTAGAAAATTAGATTTCACTATAGTCTTCTTATCTTTGAATGAATTATCTGAGCTCATGTTTCTTTCCTTCTTGCTTCTGACTTTGGGGCAAGGGCTGTCTGACTGAGGCAAGAACAGCGTTTGAGTTATTTATGTCTAAATATTTCTATCTGTATGTCCATGAGTCAAAACCAAGTATAAGTTATTTTTGAAGGATATGTTGTTTTGTATCTGTTACAACTTTAGTTGCTATCATTTTTGAAGATAAGCAGGAAATAATAAGTCTTTCTATCTTGAGAACTCTATTTTGGAAAGAAAGAAATGAATTTAACAAATCAGCCAGTTTACTATTTTCTTGAGGAGTTTTAGAGCAGGGGTTTTTGACCTGTTGTCTGTGGCCTTCCTAAGGGGTCTAATAAAGTCCCTGGCATTATTGTTGCACTCTTTTATGTGAGTTAATGTGTGCATTTTTCTTGGGGAGAGAACCTATAGTTTTTGTTAGATTCTCAAAAATGATAGTGGTTCAGAAAGATATAGATGCACAGAAAATGAATGACCTTCAGGCCAGGCATTATCACTCTGTCCTGTCTCTGGTCACTTCCTCTGTCCTTTCTTGCTATTATGGTGCTAGCTATTCTTGTTTTCCTCTTTGTTTCTTTAATTTTCTTTTGTCTGTAGTAGCTTACTGTCATCTTCCTAGCCCTCGTCTTCTTCTCTTGTTGTTTTAAAAAATCTGTCTTCTCTGCTCTTCTCTCCTCTTGTTTTTTTTTTCCTCCTCTTAGTAGCTTGGTTTGCTTCTCCAGCCCAGTTCTGTGCTCTGTTGACTATGCTCAAACCAGCATCTCCAGGTCTAAACTTTGTTTTAGTCTCCAAGTCTGCAGATCCAAGAGCTTGCAGTGTGTTTCTTTAACATAACAATGAACACAGTCCTAAGTTTGTTTGTTTTGGTACTGATGTTTATAAAAATAACAAATGTTCTTTGAAGAAGATAATGCAGTTTTATTAGCACCATCAATAACATAATCCCCAAAGACTTCTATTTAGCAAAGGGTTTCTCAGCCTTGGTACTATTGTCATTTTGGGTCACTTAATTTTTTGTTGTGGGGCTTCCCTGTGCATTGTATGATGTTCAACAGCATCTCTGGCTTCTATCCACTAGATACTAGTTATGACAACCAAAATGCCTTCAGACATTACTAAATGTCTCTTGAGGGGGAAAAGTCACCCCCAAATGGGAACAACTGATTTAGCCTGTATTTATTAATGGAATTAAAAAATAATGTTATTTTTCAGTAGTCACAATCTTACCTGTTATTTAAGGTTCAGCTTGAAACCCCAGATCCTCTTTGAAACCTTCTCTGTCTAACCCAGCCAGATAGAATTACTTTTTTCCTTTGAACTCTGATGCTACTAAACTGGAAACTGTGTGATTTGTGGTTATTCACTTTACATGTGTTGTCTTATTTCTATCTGGTTTCTTTTCTGGGAGACAAGGGTCAGACTTAAGTATTTGTGGCCTCTGTCTTCTGTTATTCTCTGTTTCGCAATGATGACAGTGCCTTGTTCTATTAAGTGTTCAGCACACACTCACTAATAAGAGGGGCAGAGGTGTGAGAGCTTGAGCTCTGTATTCATTTAATGCTTGGGTCCAGTCCCCTGCTTTGCTCCTTAATAGCTGTATGTCCTAGGTCAAATCACTGGTGTAGGTTGAAGATCTTTCATCTGTAAAATGGCAGGATCACTGTTTCATGTGCAGTTAGTTTTGAGGAGAAATGAGAAAAATGCACATAAAGAACTTAGAGCAGCACCCAGCACTAAATATGTACCTACTAAGTGGTACATGTGAGTGCCATTAAGATGACTTAATGAACTAGGATTAGGTCAAACAGACAGGTGATGTTTACTTGGTAGAGAATCAAGTTTTCAATTAAATTCTTTAACTTTCAGTTTGTATAACATGTTTAGTATAGATTCCCATAGCTTTTGGGTGGGATGTTTGTAAAATGAAATATTTATACATGTGTCTAATGCTGTTGTTTTCCTTCAACCTAGGATTCCTCTGAAGAATCTCCAGTCATCCACCCAGAATTTTCTCTTTAGTGGGCCAGTTTCTTTTTTGTTTTTTAATGCACACAATGAAGCTGGACTTGCAGCTAGCTTGCTGCATTTTGAATTGAGAAAGCCAACTAACACTGTGACCTGACTGACACTCTAATCCTACTCACTGGATGATGCTGGCAAGCTGTGCCTCCTGAGGGAGCAAGCTGTTCTCCCTTGCTTTCTCTTTTTAATATTATGGGGAAACCACTAACCAGCCACCTGGCTTATACAGTGTAGCAAATGAACAGAACCAGGTGGTGTGTTTAGGCAGGTTCTGTTTTAAAAAACCTGAAATTTGTGCTCGACTATCAGTGATTTTTTTTTTTTAATTCTAGAGGATTGATGTTATTTTAACTGGGGTTTTACTCTGTTTGACAGTGTTGGGGGATAGTTGTTTGTTATTTACTTATTTGTTGTTTGTTTATTTCTTTGCCTTAAAAGCCATTTTTTTTTTTTTTTGAGGGGAGGGGCATTTGTTACCTAAAAGGGCTCTTGATAACCTAAAAGCCTTTCGGTCTTTTTCAGCTTGAGCTTTGGGATAGCTCTTTAACTCAGGATGCTGTATTCCTCAGTATCTTATTTGTGTTCAAGGAATGTATAGCTTTTTTGGAAACTTCTTATTATTCTTGGGTCTAAGATTATAGGATGTTTGACCTGCAGTATTGTAAGCAGAATTCAGAACAACACTGTATTTTAACAGATTTCAATTTTAAACTGTTTTCCCTCCCCCACTCCCTCCCTTCTCTCTCTTTCCTTTCCTTCCCATGTCTTCAGTGATGCAAAAATAATTGTGTAGTTGCTGAGGTTGTCCCCTTCATTCAGCATCCTCTCACCTAAAACATCTCTGATGCCAATGGAATACTTCTGAACCAAATTCTTGTGACTCAAGAATAGTCACTGACAGCTTCCTAGAGGTGTGCTGAATCATTGTATGCAGTGGGAAGCTCTAGAGTGCGCCTAGGAGGGGCTGGCTGGCTGCAGGTGGAGTCCTGTTGACCTTCCCAGGGACCAGGTGTGCAGCTAGATTTTCCTGAGAGCAAGTTGGAATCAGAAGAAAGGAGTGAGCAGCAGTCTCTGTAGAGCCTATAGGATTTAAAGAAGAGACTGTTCTTATTTGGAAGCAGTTGTAGCTTTTCCCCAGTCCTCAAGAGCAGATGCTGCACTTCTCCTCTCCTTATCAAAGGGGCCATGGGGAGAAATTTGGAGATGGGGCTGGAACTTTTGCCTTTTGGGTTGTGTATGTTCACATATGTTTGAGGTGAGCAATGACATGACTTTAGTCTTGTATGAAATATTAACTGTGTGGCAAACAGCATGTGGCAGGTGAGAATGTTCAGGTGTGTGCCTGACTGTGTTAAGCTACATAACCATCCCCACCCTGTGTGCTGGACCCATGTCAGGCCACTGTAGGGAAGCAGATGCCCAGCAAAATATGGTTTGCTGACCTACTTTTACATGATTGAAAATGCTGCATTATTGCCGAAACAAAAGATGATTCTAGGCAGCAGAGTTTGGCTTTGTGTCTGACTCTTGGTCCTCTCTTCCATACTAAACTGTTTCTTTTGCTGTTGTAACAGCAATAGTGAAGAAAGTGTAAAATTCGGCCTTTAGGACTAATAGACTTAAGGACAGTAGATGCGTGGGAGTGTTAACCCCTTAAAAGCCCCTTTCTCTGGAGCAGTTTTAGGTCATTGTTAAAAATATTAGCAAATTCAACTGTATAGGTTTCTATTTGAATTCTTTTCTTAAAAGTTGCATTTATCTAAAATATTATTATCTGGTTACTTTACTTCTTTCTCTTATTAAGAAAAAACAGTTTCTTACCCCAGATACTCAGAGACTCCTTTTGGTATCACTAAATCAAAGTAGTGTTCTTTGTTAATTCTGTACTACCTTTCTTTATTCCTTTAAGTGTATTTCATCCTGGAGTAGGGTGGCAGTCTTAAACATAAGTCTGGCATCAGGTAGAGCAGAGCAGTGACCAGATACCTCCTTGTCACCTGTTAGTTCTGTGCTCAGTTTAAGAGAGGTGGTTGACTCTTAAGAGATGCTATTTGGATAAATGGAATCAGTAACCCAGGGTAGTGTTCTGGCGTGAGGATGGTGAGAGATGTTTACCACATGCACATGCTTTTATATAGCTAGTTCCCTGGAACAGTTTATGTGTATTTGGGTCTGTTTTTTGTTTATTTATTGATTATACTTTCACTTACTTTAAAGGTATTATAGCCATTTTTTTTAATAGAAGCTGTGATCCAGTTGGAAACCACATTTGAGGAGTAAGCAGTATAACCTTTTACCTTATAATATGTAACTATTCTGATCCTATGGAATCTTATAGAAAACAGAAAAAAACCCTTCCTCATTGCCATGGAAGGTTGCAATCTCCCTTCTGATGTGGTGGGCAGATATTTTTGAGCCAGTATTAGTTAATTTTTTAACCTATAAGATGTTTTTTAAATCGGTTTTGTTTGTGTTTATTTTTCCATGTTGGAACAGTCTCTTTGGATGTGTCTCTTCTTGTGGCTTTTAAAGTTTCTTTCTGTGGTCAGCTGCCATGGGTTTTACGTGATGTCAGTATGGGGTGGTGTATATGTGCCAAGGGTGTGCAAGCATGAAAACACAGACCGCTTCCTTGATTCAGTTCTGTGCTGGAGGAGCTCCACTGGCTGAATTAGCGGGAGCCACAGGCACTGAGTTTCCAGCCTTTTACAGTAATGGACTTTTGTACTGGGAATAGTGATTTGGTTTGAAAAACTCCACTGCAGCAGTTGAAGGAGAATCAGACCTCTTTCAGCTTGAGTGTCAACAAGAGGAGCAGGTAATGAATCATAAGTGAACCAGTTGACCTTCCACAAAGGAGAGCTCTTTACCTGAAATGGCCACCAAGAGATAAGAATGACCAGGGGACCCCTATGGGAAATGAGGCAGTACAGGGCTGTGAACTGTGGGGACCACTGGATGCTTCATAGGTGACTGTTTTGTTGACCTCCAGGGAGGCCAGTTGATCCTAGAGTCAGAACAGAGCCATTCTTCCCACCTGAGCAGGAGTTTTGGTCAGCTTCCCTCACAGGAGTCTGCGGTAGCACACGGTTTAAAATCCTGCTTTCTTGGGAAACTTGTGGTCATCGGGGCTGTGCCCCACAGTCTGGCCACGGGACCATGCCACATGGGAGGCATCTTTGGGATCCATGGTCTCTAGACTCTATCTGCTTCCTTGCTCCTTCCAGGGCCCCACACAGAGGGTGGAAACTGATGGCCCCCTTTCAGAGTTCTCACCTGCATAGAACTTCTTTCCCCAGCAGAGATCGTCCCTTTCCTCCTCTGCCCTGAAACTTTTGTACTGAAGGAGAGGACCTAGATCGAAAATTGGACACCAGCAGGACATTGCAAACTTTGGGGGCAGATTTGGGTTCCTATGGTGTACAAACTCTTGAACCAGTGGTAATTAGTCCCATGGCAAACTCAACTGTAGAAAGCTGGCCTTCCAGACAGCTAATGCTGAGATCTTGATGGAGGAGGGCTAGTGAGAAGGTGGAACACAAATAGCCCCAGTGCTTGGGTTACCATGGAAACCGGAGTGTGTGAGGCCACAGCCTGAGCCGAAGAGCCATTGAACATGCCCCTTACATATTTAGGGACCAGCAGAACCTGCTGGGAAAAACATTCCCTCACCCCAGGGTCCTGTCTTCCTAGCAAGGGTTGTCTATGCACTAAGAACCTGCTCAACAACCGAAGCAAGGTTTCTTAAGAGAGAAAGTTTCACCATTTTTTATTCATTCTTATTTACTATATATATATGTATGTGTAATTATAAAGAAACAATCATATGCATTGTCTTTTCTATTTATGTAATATTCTGAAATTAAATTTCTTTTGTTTCATATCCATAGACTTTGACTGGTCTCTTAGTTCACATCATTGGGTTATTTTGAAAAGAGAGGTTGCCTCTGAATCTATGGAACAGATTTAAGAAAGGCTCTTCTTGGGCTGAGGTTGTGGCTCAGTGGTAGAGCCCTGGGTTCAATCCTTAGCACCACTTTAAAAAAAAAAAATAATAAAGGTCCCATGTATAATGTGTCCAACTATAACTAAAAAATAAATATTAAAAAAAAAAGACTCCTCTGACCATTGTGGTGGCACATAGCCTACAATCCCAGTGACTCAGGAGACTGAGGCAGGAGGACTATAAATTTAGGGCAGCCTCAGCAACTTAGCGAGGCCCTAACTCAAAAAAAAAAAAAAAGTCCTGGGAGTGTAGCTCAGTGGTAGAACATCTTGGATCAATCCTCAGTGCTGATAGATAAATAAATAAATATATATTTCTTTTTGGCTTGTTTTTCAGCTGGGTGGGTAGATCAGGGGTAGTTGAACTTGGGAGCAGATAAGAAATGCAAGACACTGGGCTGCTGAACCTCCTGATGTCCTGTGACTGAGTGCTTTGCACAGATCACAGTTCCTCACATAGTATCTATTTCCTCGCTTAAAAATAAGGACTGAGAGTTACAGTAATAGTAAAAAACTAGATATTTAGACAAATCTTGTTGAATTGTTTCCGTCACATGAATTTTGGGGGAAACACAGATATGGTAACAATACCATAAACTGGGTTGCTTATGAATAACCCAAATTGCCAGGTATGGTGGCCTTTCTGGAGTTCCAGTTCCTTGGGAGGCTGAGGAAAGAGGCTTGCTTGAGCCCAGGAGTTTCAGACCAGCCTATGCAACATAGACCTTGCCTAAAAACAAAATCAAAACCCCAAAGGGGAAAAACAAAAACAAACAAAAAAACAAGCACAAATGTATTTCTCACATTCTGGAGGCTGGGAAGTCCAAGATCAGGATGCTGGTAGATCTGGTTCTGTTGAGCCCCTGCTTCCTGGTTCATAGCTGCCATCTTTTCCCTGTAACTCGCATGGCAGAAGGGACAAGGTTTTCTTTGGGGCTTTTATAAGAGCCTTGTCCCTATTCTTGAGGGCTTTACCCTCATTACCTAATCATATCTCAAACACCCCACCTCCAAATACCCTCACATTGGGGATTAGATTTCAACATGAATTTTTTGGGAAACACAGATATTCCGTTTATTGTAGCTATTGCTCATTGTGTGATTTCAGGTATGTTCCTGAACCCGCTGTCACCTCATCTGTGAGGTGGAGATCGTAGTATCCATGTCAACAGTACTACCATGCTTGTGAACAGATGGAAGGCTAGGGCTTTAATTTGGGATCTCTGGCTGGGCTTCAGGAGAGCATTTGCCCCTGTGATTGTATGTAAAATTTTGTCTATTTGCATTTTTCCAGGGGAGAGATTTCATAGCTTTCACAAGAGTCTCAGAGGAATCCTTGACCACTAAAATACTGAGAACTACTAGCCTTTAACAATGCTGGCAGATGGCAAGTATTCATTAAATGTTAATTCTCTCTCTGCCAAGGATTAATTTTATAATCAGCAGGATATTGGTGCTGATGTAGTTATTTTGATAACAAAGGAGCTACTTAAATTCCGAATAGAAATAAAATCTCTGCAGTTGTCTTGACTCTGTGAACTACCCATGTGTTCCTCTGTTGTCAGCTTAGATGCTGCTAAGAACTACCTGTCTTCTCCATCTCCCAAGACCCATGCGTATTATTTACAGAAAAGAAAGGAGTCAGGTCTGCTCCCTGAAGGTGAAGCAGGGAGAGGCTTAAATAAAACTGGTAATGCCAAAGAAAAGGAAATGGTCTGGAGAGGACAAGGGGTATTTTGAAAAATAGAAGGACGATCAAAATGCCTGAGAATGCTGAGCATATAGCAATCGATCATTGAGTCACGGAAAAAAATGAAGAGGTAAACATGCATTAAACAGTGGAAAGGGAAGAGAGGAAAACAGGAAATTGGGAAGAGTCATGCTGTGGTCTCCTCCTCTTCCTGGGCTATTTCATTTTCCTTCGCCTGCTGTGGTACATGGCCCACTTTTGCTTTACCAGTGTTCCTGAATCAGAGGCCTGCAGGGGACTGGAAAGTTGAAGGCTGAACCCCAGGCTAGTGGTTAAGGTATGGAGGACGTCATTTAGATGCTTCTCGGAGGCTAGCCTCTTGAACAAAAAATTGGATTGAGCAGTGGCTAAGCCTTGGTTCAGGTTGAATGTTAATATCTGAATCCCTTATCAGCGGCATCCAATGCCGAGATCCTGAGAGTCTTCTACTTGAAATCAGGATTAAGGTGAGTGGGAGGGCCCATCAGTGTCATTGCTACCTTCTCTTTATATTCCCAGAAATAAGTCGTTTTTGTTGTCAAGGCCTTGGTACAGAGGAATGCTTAATTCATTTGAACCGTATCAATGGGCAGAAGAAAAAGGAAAGACTCACAGTTTAGAAACTGAGCCTGAGGGCCAGAGAAGCCCAGGAGGTGGAGCCAGTGGGCTAGAAAAGAGTCAATCAAACTTAGGAGGTAAGTAAGCATCTTTTGGGGACTCTTGTACCAACCTGGGTCGGGGGATGTCAATTTTCCACATGGACATCACAGCTGGGTCTCTCTCCACTCAAGGCTGAGGCAAGTACAAATTTAAGATTGTGCTTAAGATTGCTGCATTTATCATATTTTCATGATCTGTGTCCACTGGCAATGACTCAGAAGGGAAAATAATAGCCCTCAGAGGAAAAATATTGATGTGATATACAGTCATGTGTTGCCTAATGATGAGGGTACGTTCTGAGAAATGCACCATTAGATGATTTTGCTGTTGTGTGAACATTGTAGAGTGGCACACGAACCTGCATGGTCTGGGTCAGTCTCTCCCCATGGCCTCTGGGATGTGGCCTCTGGAGACTTGGTAAACATGAGATGTGTGAAGCTGCTGCCAGGGCAGCGTGGCGTACCGCTTTACAGTGAGCTTCAGAGTGAAGGAGTTCCACATAAAATCCAGCATCTTGCACATGCTAGGCAAGCGCTCTACCACTGAACCCAGTACCTCTAAAACAACAATAAAAAAAGTATAGTAAATACACCAGCAACAGAAGTGTATCGTCTTATCAAGTATCAGGTAGTGTACATAATTGTTATACTTTTATATGATTGGAAGCAAAGGTTTGTACTAGCGTCACCACAAACGAATGTGTAAAGCATGCATTGCTGTATGTATGACAGTTACAATATCACCAGGTAATAACCTCATGGGATCACTGTTGTATATGCAGTCTGGAGCATCACTGTATAGCACATCAACGTATGTGGATATATTATAAATCATATGTCTAGCTTTAAAGAATGAATCATGCACGCCTGTAATCTCAATAACTTGCTGAGGTGAGAGGATTGCAAGTTTGAGGCCAGGCTCAACAATTAGTGAGACCCTCCTCAAAATAAAAAAATAAAAAGGACTGGGAATGTAGTTCAGTGGAAGAACACCCTGGTTCAAATACCAAAAAAAAAAAAAAAAAAAAAAAAAGAATTAGACGATTGATCTATAATTTGAACTTGATCACAAGTTCAAATGTCTTAAAATACTAAGTACTATATGTGTTTAAGGGTTAACCCTCAAGTGGGGAGCTTCTGCCCTATCAGATTGCATTGACAGCCAGAGCAGCAAGTCAGCATACTGTAAGCATGAGAAAAGCAGAGGCTCTTCCTTTGATGAAGATTCAATATTCTGTTCGCTTCTACAGCTGTGATTGTGTTATAGAAGATTCTATTTGTGGGACTGAAACTCCCTGGAACACACTGTCTTCTTTAGAAAGTAGTGTTCTTCTTTTTTATACTTTTATTTATTTATTTTGTGTGGTACTGATGATCGAACCCAGAACCTCGCACATGCTAGGCAAGCGCTCTACCACTGAGCCACAAACCCAGCCCCCTAGAAAGTAGCATTCTTTAGATGATGTTCCAACTTGATTGTCCCATCAGACCTGCACTGTGTTTGAGGAGCTGTCCAGCAATCACTGTGATAAGAATTTCAACCTGAAGGCAAATGACACAGTTTTGCAGAGTGTCATTGTGTTCTGTTTGCCCACAGCTCAATTTAAAAAGCTGTCCATGATGGGCTGGGGATGTGGCTCAAGCAGTAGTGTGCTCGCCTGGCATGCGTACCGCCCGGGTTCGATCCTCAGCACCACATACATACAAAAAAGATGTTGTGTCTGCCGAAAACTAAAAAATAAATATTAAAAAATTCTCTCTTTCTCCTCTCTCTCTCTCTCTCTCTCTTAAAAAAAAAGCTGTCCATGAATTCTTCACTGGTCTTTCTCTCTGTGATCATATTTCTTACTCTTAGACTAGAAGTTCCTAGAGATAAGAGCTTGTGGCCTCATTCAACCAAGTCCCATTGTTTATCTTGAAAAGCTGAACATGATAATTTAGACCCATCTGACATTCCCAGATGGTGGTGAAAATGGGTTTGATGGTTTGTTTCAGATGAAGGAAACCACACCAAGAAGCCATGGGTATTAGCTTCAGTTACTTTGTCTGAGTCTGTATGACTAGCTGAATTACTGAATCACACCAAGTCTCAGTTTACTTGTGTATGAAATACAGATAATCATCACTACTCTACTTCTCCATCTTGTGCTTTTGTGAAGTCCAGAAGAAATCATGAAGTGAAAAGAGCCTCAAAAAACTGTTAATCCCTGTGGAACAGGTACCTGTGGCCAATACCCCAAGCTCACCTCTTTACCCCATGTGGAGTAACTTGTTAATATCCCAGAGTTCACATCATCTCCAGCATGAATGAAAAGAATGTGCTTCATGTCATAAACCATAGAAAAATATGACTTGTATGTTATGTCTGATTTTTTAGCTTCTTTAGGACCAGAATAAAGTGTCTGTATTAGTGTCAAATTTCAAAATGTTGAGTAAGAAACAAAAGTGGCCTGAGCTGGGTGTGGTGACACATGCCTGCAATTCTAGCTACTTGGG